AAACACTATTCCCCTGGTTTAACACATGAGTCAGGTTTGGTGAACTGTTACTGCAAAACTCTACACACAAATCCCTACATTTCTCAGTGCTTACACCATGTGGTCATTTAGAAAGCACTAGCATTCAATACTGTTCACTCAAGTTGGCACAGCTTGAGCTCAATTAGCAAACAATTACCCAGGTGGAAACACTAAGAGTCAAAATTGAACACACATCAATCAGATCCTTCAATAAATAGATAAAAGGGCCTGAATCAGTTCATTGAGCTTTGGAACAATGGATCCACAGAGAAATGAAGGAATAGGTCGAGGATGAGGACGAGGTGGTGAAGGGGGAGGGCAAGGAGACAAGCAGTCTCAGAGCCACTTTAGTTGACCATGTCCTTGTCCATGGTATGACTATGAGGGAGGCTTCTATTTTTGTAGGACACAGAGATGACCACCTGGTGGAGGCAGGCTAAGGCTTTTGTCAGAGGAGCAAGAGAGGGAGCTTGTAAACATGGTCATTGCCAATAATGTAATCCGCCTGCGAGAGATTCAAAGGAGAGTGATTGAGGATAATCATCATTTTCGAGGGATAAATGCCATCAGCCTCTCCACAATTGATCGTATCCTCCGAAAGCACCGGTTCCGGATGAAACAGGCGTACCGCGTCCCTTTCGAACGAAACTCTGACAGAGTGAAAGACCAACGAGTGGAATATGTTCAGGTATGAGTTTTGATATCGTATGAAGTATTGTGTACCATCACAGTATAGCAGTTTATGCTGCCATTTGTGCCCTCTTGAACTGTGCTTCAGGGCAGTGATTTACTCTACTGTGTTTCATGTGTTTTGCAGAGAATCTTTGAGATTGAAGGCCGGCCTGTTCCCCATGAAATTATCTTTGTGGATGAGGCTGGTTTCAACCTGACCAAAAGAAGGAGAAGGGGGAGGAACATAATTGGCCATCGGGCTATTGTAAATGTCCCTGGTCAGCGCGGAGGGAATGTCACTGTGTGCAGCCATCAGCCAACGAGGGGTACTCCACCGTCATGCCATTCTAGGACCCTATAACACTATGCTCCTCCTTGCTTTCCTTGACGGTCTAAGAGAGTATATGTTCCAGCTGGACCTCAGGGAACCAGAGCAGCCTCGTTACATTGTTGTTTGGGATAATGTCAGCTTCCATCGCGCTGCTCTGGTTCGTGACTGGTTTACCAATAACCCGAGGTTTTCTAACATCTTTCTTCCTGCATACTCTCCCTTTCTAAACCCGATAGAGGAGTTTTTTTCTGGCATGGCGGTGGAAAGTGTATGACCGAGAACCTTATATACGTGCTCTCCTCCTCCAGGCCATGGAAGAAGCCTGCCTAGACGTATCAGTAGATGCATGCCAGGGGTGGATCAGGCATGCAAGAGGATTTTACTCTCGCTGCCTGGCTAAGGCCAATATAGCCTGTGATGTGGACGAGATTCTCTGGCCTGACCCAGAACAAAGACGGGATGCTGAGGCGGAATATTTAATTTTTATTTTTTTTACAGTTGTGCTGTGTAGTACATGAATGAATACAAATGTGCCAGTGTATACATTGGTTGTGTCTTGTGTTCATGTGAAAAGGTTTTTGAGGGGAAGAACCACAAGCAACATAACTTACCAGTTTTGGATATATTGTTTTGAATTTATTGCACCAGTGTGTAATACAATGTTGTAGTGTGTGTTTTTGAAAGCTTGTGTGTGATGTCTGAGGGGAAAAAAATATATATATTTTTTTTTTTTTGACCTGAAACTAGGATGTTTGGGGAATTGGGTGAGACGTTATGGATTCGTTTACTGTTTTGAGAATACCAGGCATAGTTTCAAGAAATGTGTTTAAGCAATCGAGAAACCGTAATAGTGGCAGGCGAGTTCTGCTTGTTTCTCACAATTACATAAGCAGCATTACATAAGCTTTAAGCATAGTCAGGTCCACCCGTTGTTTAAACTGCCCAGGGCTTATATCTTGAATTCAATAAGACACAGCACAGCAGATCTGTAAGTCGTTACCCTACATTTACTGTTACTGGGGCTCTTAAAAAACAAATACAAATACGGAAGTGACCACAAGGTGGCAGTGATGGTCATCTTTAATTGAATTATCTGTTTATTTACTTTAACATCAATGTGAATTTTTGAATTTACATAATCTACAAATCATTTAATTGACAAATCACACATTTTTTACTGTCTTGTGCGCTCTTTAATTATTCACTGGCTGCATGTTTGGTTGGATTTAAGATTTGATTTAACAGTACAGTGCAGTGTACGGTTTCCATTTGCTAATTAGATGATCTGTTCCCTTTATGTAGACGCTTTCAAGATCTGAGACCGAGAGGTGATGAGTCAGGGCGGTGTGATAAATCTGGTTTCACCACTCCTTTATGTTTCTTTGAGGCTTAAAGCTCTCATAAATAGCAGACATAAATCATTCTCTGCCTGAAGCCTAAATCAGAGTTTGTGTTCATTCATATCCCAGAAAATATTTAATGTCGCTATTTAGACATCTTAAGTTAGTAAGTAGGCCCGCCTTAAGTAAATTTTTTTATTGAAATGTGTTGCATAGACTTTCAAGAGTTAAAACAAAAAGCAGCTTTCGAGCACAACATCTTTTAGGCACAGAGTCTACTTCAACTAGAAACAACATAAACTAGAATCTTGTTCTGTGATTGCATGTGGACAGTCAAAACTCACAAGCATATAATTCAGATTATTGTAAAGATGCTCATCTCTGCAACAGTATCCATCCAATTGTTAATGACCTAGCCTTTTTGACTGACTCTGAAGCACTTATGCTCCATTTAGAGTGACCTGTTATGTAATGACCTGATTACAAAGCTGTTTCCCTCCATCCTCAGGGTCAGTGAGTACAAAGACTACTCCATCATACAATTTTATCCTACAGAAGACCCTCCCCCAGTACACACCATCACCATAGACTGCACATTCCCATCCCCCATGTCTCATCACGCTCTTCAAGACTCCTTCTGTCTGTCACCTTATTCCCAGCTTACATATGTAGCAATTAGACATCATTTCCTCCTCTGGTGCAGCGGATATACTCAACATTATTCATGACCATGGCAATGGCTTTAATTGTGAGATCTGACACAATGTTAGGCCCAAAATTGTTAGAACTGATATTGTCAGGTTATAAAGCCAGGCAGGTGTTTGGGTGCTGGTGTACGAGAACAAAATGTCCTTTCCCGCATGACTGCCTAATACAATGGATAACAGCAGTCTATAGAGGGTGATCGCTTTGTTGTAAGAGGGGATTTATCTTGTCTGAACTGATTAGTGTAGTGTGGCTGTGTGGGGTATCAGACAACAATCAAAAAGAGTATTTAGTAGTTGGACTGTGGTAATCAAACTAACGTCTGGTCACAGTAACATGACTTTCTACTTCAAAATTTTCACATTTAATTTAATATGTTACTTGCCATTTCTTTGTAATTATGAAACCGGTTTCTGTAACAATATTTCTTCAGTGTAACAAACATTGAAAACACACATAGGTTATGGTTTTACATGGTTTATTGAACAAAAACAACAAAACAATAAGGGATGACACCCGAGCGAGTGAAGCGTCCAACAGCTCTAATGTGCTTTACACAAAGGAAAGTCTGTTCAAAAAATGTCCAACATTTGCACACAAAAAGCAGAAAGTGCTCCATTAAAAAAAAAAAAAAAAAAAGTCAGAAAATGAGCACAACAACGCAGCAAATTGCCAAGGTCTGAGCAGAGCAGCATCATACAGTGTCAGAAAAGGAGAGGTTGCATAGAGTGCGCTGTACAGTCAAAGTTGGAGCACAAGGAACACAAAGAAAAACGCAGAATTCGAGTAGAAGAGATTATAGAACAGGAAGTGAGCTTCTATTAAACTCCGTTCACTCTCCTCAGTGCAAGTGCAGTCTAATACTGTGGTTCGTATGACTGCTAAGACCAATTTAAGACCATGTTTATGCTCTCTGAAACATTCAAACTGAAAAGAGTCATAATTAAGTGGACAAAAAAGCAAATGCAAAAACATTTACCAACTCTCTCCGGGATTAACTCACCTTTGTAAAAGATACAATCATTTAACTTGCCATTCGGGAAAATGAAAGTGGATTTAAAAGAATCAGAAAGAATGTTCCCAATAAAAGCATTAGCAGACAAAATGAAAACATAACTCAACATTTAAAAAGTAACAGAACACTTTTTGTTCTCACGTGACGTGAAGAACCACACGGTCCAGAATATATCAAAATACCTTAAACCTGAGGCTGATTTAATCTTAAAAAAAAAAAGATATTGATCTCATAAGCCTCAAGTTTCTTCCATAGCAGACAGCAATAAGCAGTCACAAACAGAGAATGGGAATAAAATAAGTTAAAAGTACTAAAAAAGCTTGACACTATAGATTTATTATTTAAAAAACAACAAAAAATAAATAATACCATCTGAAAAACATTAATTACTAGCCTCACCAAAAACAGAAAGCACTGCTAGTTCATTTAGTGAATTAGATACTAAAACACAAGAGTGTAGAGGTAGAACTACAGCACACACAAACTGTCAGGCAAAACCACACCTGGAAGTCAAACACACACCAATTTCTTCTCTATGAAGCATTCAGGATACAGATGAAAAAGAGCAATGGTACACTATTGAGCTCCCATCCTGTTTTAGAGAAAATCAAATAGTCGGTTAACAAAAAATAAATATTGTATTTTGACAAATCAACCAAAAAAATAATAAAAATCTGTTGTATATTGGAAATGCATAAGTAGTATTTCTTATATAAAACACAAATAACACTCACACAGACTTTAACTGCTCCCTTCAATCATAATCAAATGCATATTTTAATCTACCAGATTCCAAAACAACGAAACCGTGAAACTGTAGAAGTGTGCGTGTCCGTGCAGAAGAGTTGTTCACACTGTTTTTTCATAAGTGACAGCAGCATTGTAAATGGGGCACCAGAATTAATCATTTTTTGGCCAAAAAATTATCTCACACAATGTAAAAGCAAGCACCTAAATGGTTAAACTGCACATGCCTAATATGTAAAGTGTTTAAATATTAAAAGCTTGCAAAACGGACTGCATGTTTAAAAGATAAAGCTGTAAAAAAAAAAAAAAAAACCCTACAAGAAATCTCACTTATATCTCTAGACTTCAAGGCACCAGGATAAATCTGCATTCAAGGAGAAAAAAGTTCTAAAGTTCTAAAGAAACCAAGTTCTAAAAGTTGGTCTTTAATTCTCGTGATTTCAGCTATTTTGTTGTGACAGAGGAAAGATACAGATGATCAAGTTTTGTGGAGTTGTATGTTTAACTCAAGTAAGACCCAAGTGTAAGACTATGGTAATGACATGGTTTGTGACATGTGATGAAATGTAGTATTGTAAAATGTAGTAAATCTAGTATCTTGTGTGTCTTTGTACTGCAAAAATAGTTTTTATTTGGATTTCCTCCCCACCAAAAAAAATACATAAATAAATTTGTGAACTGCTTGCTTACTAAAACTGAAGGCTTCACTGCTCACAAAACTGAATAGAATAACTGAAATACTTTTCTTTTTGTCTGTTTTTATAGCAAATGATTGTTTTGAGAAGATGAGCAAGTAGGGAGGCTCTGAGAACAGAATTTTAAAGTCCCAGTCCCTCAGTAAGACTAATAAAGAGCTTTCTTTATTTTACCTTGATTGTACTCACTGCATCATAACATCGTTTTTAGCTTTACTTCACTCTTAGTGACATAACTGATGATTGATTTAGGCTGAACACTTCTGGGCTTAATGAATGATTCATTTAAATTACTACTGTAAACAAAAAAGTGAACGGTCAGCTGAAAATCTCTTTGTAGCAAACTTTGTATGGGTGTTCAAGTTGAGTACTTTGTACTCTTCACATTAAATCAGCAATGGAAGATTCACAGTTTTCCAAGCAACGCGGTCCTTTCTGGTCTGTTATGGAAAGGGAAAACCTAAAACAGAATAAAAAATACAAGTCATTAGGATTAGTACCTGAAGTAGTCACACATTTGACTATACAGACATGTACTATAAACAACTAAAAATGCAATTACTAGCCAATAATATATTGATATTAGAAGACAGAAAACAACACTAGACATACAAATTGAAAAGAAAGTGGTTGATTGACAGGCTGAAATTATGTCATGATGGCTGGTGCTGTTGCATAATGCATGACTTAAATGGGTCCAAATCTCAGATTGCTTGATAAATAATCAGATTTACAAGCATTAAAAACATCTCAAATAGAGAAATCTTTGCAGGCTATCTGTCATTAGTCAACACGACTGCCGCATGATCTCAGCTGCATACAGTATAAAGAGCTCTCCCCTCCTCATATCCTGCAGCTCAAACTATGTGCTGAGTCAGGAAGAGCTACTAAACGTCCCGCTGCAGTCACTCAAAACTACACAACGCATGCTGTTTCGGGTGCAAACCCACCCTCTCTCACGTTCCACACATACAGACCAGAGAGAGAGCAAATTAACCAAGAGGCTCCAAGCAGTTTTCTTTTCCTGTCTGAACGTAGCAACAGAAGGAAAAGGAGAGGGGGATGGTGAACAAAAGACGACTGGAGTAGCAGACAGCTGTAATGTCCTCATAATGGCTGGGGAACTCATGAGCCCTCTGCCTTTCATATGCATTCATACTCTTTTTTTTGAGCACACAAATAATATTTTAGCGATTGACATTCAACCCTAAAATACATAACTTTAAATGTTCTGCTAAACTAATCCAATATTTAAAAAGAAAACATTGATTTTTAGGAATGCAATATTAAACAATGTACTACTTTCCTAAATTAATGAAAAATAAAACACTAAAAACTCAAATTAATCATCTATAAATGCTACAGCACGAGTTGGTCATTACAACATTTATTTCACTGTTAGAAAAATATTCATTCTGAGATTTGCTTAAGATTACATTTTACAGCGTCACATTAAATTGTTAGTGTTTTTAAACAATTTAAAATACTAGGTCAAAGGCTGCAAAGGTCATTCGCCTAAAGGGACATTTGACCTAAAATCAAAATTCTGTCATCATTTACTCACCCTCATGTTGTTTTAAACCCATAAGACTTTCGTTTCTCTTCGAAACAAGAACGTTTTAATGGAACCTGAGAAGATTCTGATACCTCCATTGAAAGTCCAGGTAACCAAAACGTAGAAGATTCAAAAAAGTCATAAAAGCATCGTTTTCAATCATATATGGAAGTTCATGCATGCATTATGGGCTAGAAAGAACCTAATTGGTTTTCATGCAGCACATACACATAAGAGGTTTGTTCTAGCATGGGACGCACACGAGTTTCCTTGTTTGATTCGCTCTATGTATCTTTGTTTATTTGTGAATAAAAGCCTAAATTAAACCTGCTCATCATATAAAGCAATCATTTCTCTTCACAAGACTTGGATTTAACCAATCAATTCACATAGATTCGTTTTACGAAGCCTTTATAATCTTTTTAGATCTTTTACGTTTTGGTCACCTGAACTTTCAAGAAATCTCTCAGGTTTCATTAAAAATATCCTAATTTGTGATTCATATGGATTTGGAAAAACATGAGGGTGAGTAATTGATGACAATTTTCATTTTTTGGTAAATTTCAATATCAATACCTATATTAAATATCAATATATAAAAAATAAAAAAAAACATTTAATTTTGGTTGATAACTGAAACTGTGAATTCATTATATATATATTCATTATATACCCTAATGCTGTAATACTTTTAGACTAAACTGGTCCTTGCAAGGAGCTGTCTGTTATGTGTGGCATGTCAAAACAAAAAATCTTTCCATTTCAGGACTAGAAAGAACTTCCAGTAACCTGGTCTGCCTGATGAGCATTGTCCCCCAGGGCAAAGAGTATGGAAAATAGAGAGAGAAGAAGGGATGGGGAGTGTTAGAGGAGGGGTGGAGGTGAATGGGTGCGGTTGTATAACAGCTATCCCAGCATGCACTTTTAAAAACAAAAGAGGCTGTTATAGCATGCAAATAGAAGCTCTCTGAAAGTCATGTCATTAAACAAATCACATCATGATAGAGTCCTAGCAGAGCTGTCAAAACCACTGTGAAACTGATATGGTCAAATAAGACACTAGCAATAACGTGATAAATGGCAATTTGTCCTTCACTGCTGTGGGCAAGATAGTGAAGCTGTTATCAAATACTGATAAGTCAATGAACTTGAAAAAAGTGTGCATGATTTCACTTGGGTTTAAAGCCTCATGCCGTATTGTTTTCCACTTGCCATGCATGAGCTTCATCAAAATAATCAACACCCCTGGGGATGGCTTATGTGGAAATACACATGATGATAACCATTTTAAGATTGCATCAAAATTGAAATTCTAGCTGATATGTAGCTGGTAATAACTTTTAATTAGTGGTCGACCGATATTGGTTTTTTGACAGCCGGAAAGCAGGGTGGCTGATGGCCGATATAATTTTATTTAATATTTAAGAAATTTGAAATCATTTGAAAATGGATTTAAAAAATAAACGTGTAAAATAAACATGCTTATACTTTAAATGACTGAATAAGTGATTTTTCACAAATATTTAATAAAAATATAATTAAAAAGGAAGTAAACACTGTAACCAACACTCAATAATCTGGGAAGTTTGTGTGCATTGGGAATCACATTTTTTCAAATAAAGCCAAGGTAACACTCATTTTACATACAGCACACGGTGAAAATGACATGAATATGACATTGGGATAAAGCATGAAGCTCAGCATAATTTGAAATCACGAATTTAAAGTGTCTCCAGTGAAGCTGAACTCTCCTCCTGTCCGTATTCAGTTCGCATGGACCGACCGTCATGCAGAGTACACGCGATCGTGCAGGATACAAATGCACACTTCATAAGATCTCACAGCTGGATTCGACTAAGTTTGCAAGGTTTTTGAAATTAGATGTTCATTAGTCATTCAAAGATTTGTTTAAATTATATAAATGCGTATTTGCTGAATGCTAACGGCAAACGAGAAAGTATTATAATGTTTACCTTTCTATTACTAACAATATAAAAGCAATCGTTATAATACTTATTTGTATACATTTAATACCTTTGTTTAACAGTTCTATCTGATTATTAGACAGACTTCTGTCCATGTCCATGACATTCTGTCCGTTAACAACGACAGCGAACAAGAGGGGAGAATGTGAGCACTTGTATGCTCAGGCACTGCTGTTCTCAGCGCCGTCAAAATAAAAGTCCAGCCACGAACGCATCGGCCAAACAGAAAAACTTAACGGCCAATGCCGATATTTGAAAAATGCCAAATATCAGCTGATCACTACTTTTAATATCAGTGGATGTTATAAATCTATACTACTTTGCTAAAAAAACAACAACTTTAAAATGCTAAAAACTAACACGCCCACTTTAAAGGGGTCCTATCTTTTTTTTTTCACTTTTTGAATTGTAGTCAGTGTGTATGTTTAGGCATAAAAAAGATTACAAATCTCAAAGTCTACTCCAAAGGGAGTTATTTGTTTTTAAAAAATCCCTTTTCAAGAACTACAACGAACGGCACGTTTGGACTACAGCGTTGTTTTCCGGGTTTTTTGTTATGTCACAAAGCGGTGCATTAGAATATCATTAAAATAATTCCCGCCTACGGAAATTCGAATGGTTGGGGGGTGGGGAGGGGCGAGGTTGTGCATCAGACAAGACGACGATGAAGAAGTGCT